AAAATGCGCTTTTATGGGGTTTTCCGGCACAGAAGGTTGCTGAAGGGGCTGGATAAGCGATTCCCGCCCAGTGAGGCGCGATTGGCTGCCTGGGTCAACCAGCCAATTGCGCGAATGGGTGGAGACTCCATCCATACAGTATTGTCCAGGCAGTTGCCTTTCTGGCGAGAATCTCTCCTCCACTCCTTCAAGAACCTCCTAGAAAAGCATAAAAAGCATTTTTTGATAATAAGGAGAAGAAGGGATCGAAACCTACAGTCGCAGTTTTCCCGAGCCAATGACTTTAGCCTTGACTCTTTGAAACTATGTTGCCCACCCTGGTTGACCTAGGTATGTCCCAATATTTCCTTTCTACCAGTCCCACCATGTTATTGCGCTCAAGCGGACTGCGTGATTGCGAACAATTACACCCTTTGCCGTTACCTATGAGAGCCACATGCACCACATTCGCTTGCCAATTTCAGCCAAATTGGGTCAAGTGCGATGACATATGCGGTATACAATGTCAGCCGTGGAGATGTAGCACTAAACGATTCAGTGTTAGGAATAAGGGTTTGATATTTGTTTTATCTTGGGTGCCTTGTTCAATTACGAAGCCAGTAAAGTCCATGGAAGTTTCGAAAAGTTGCAATAAACGAATAAAATGTATGGTGAATATTATCTAATGGTGCGATGCGAAAAGAGAAGCACACAAAATATCTGGAATTTATACCAAATGAATGGAGTAGAAACAAGTTGAAGAAGGACAAATATTGCTCTTCAATTTCTACCAAAAAGTCTTCTTTGTATTATTAGGTTGACGGTAGTTTCAAGTTACATAGAATGAAAAGCTATTAGATTGGCACATAGGTTTTGCAACTTTGTCCATAACTTCTTTCTTTTTGAATGAGGAGCGCTCAGATTTTGATGTTATGTGAACATGGAAGTGGTCTATAAAACAAAATTGACGCATTTTTCGAAAATGGTTAAAATCAAGGCTTTGCGGTTTTTAGCAAAAACAAAGACGTACAGGAAACAAATTTGTATGCAACATGTTCTCAGTGGTTGGCTACTAAGTCCAGCGAAAAAAAAGAGTTGTAAGTCAAAGCCAAATCAAAATGGCGATCTTATGAACTCGAAGGAGTCGAATGCGTCACCCCTGACATCCGTCATTGCCAGAGAGTCTGAACCATCGGACTTTGGCGGATTTTTGCACAAAGGAGTAATTTGACATGCTGAACTTGACAGTCATATATGTGCATTCGTTGTCAGAGTTGAAAACTAGCTCACAGATTTTCTGTGGCAAAATAAGCCTCTCACGAAAATAAATATCTTAATCAGGATGTAGCATACCCCCCCCCCCCACCCTAGACCAAGATTCATCCAAATCCGTGCCAATTCCTTTTTCTTTCCCATTCAAAAATTGCCCTACCGTAACCCTCAAAGTTATGATAAGTTTCTCACCCTGGGACTTCGTTGCTTTTATGATGATCTCTATAATATCTAGGAATGGAAGCGCCACATTTAAAAAGACAGGAGTTAGGAGAAAAAGTTGCAAAACTTATGTGCCAACCTAATACAACATCGTAGAGTTATGTGTAAGGTCGTCTCCGTTGTTAGTTCTGAATCTCTACCGCAAAAGCCATATAATTTCTATTTTGGATTCCAGATGGTTTCGGGATACGTTTTTTGAAGTGAAGCCAGCCAAGTCCGGCAAGCAGGCGTTCAAATTTTCTCGTTATTTTGATCCACGTAAAGTTTGCTGTTCAAATACATAATGTTCTATATCAAAGAAAAGTCGAAAAAATTATCTCCGTCCAAAGAAATTTGACCGATCTTCCTTCTTCTCACGCGTCTATTCTCCACATCAGACATTCAGGTATGCAGCCGCGTATTTATTTCATTTGACAACAATTAGGAGAGTACGACTCTACAATTTGAGATCCGAGAGAGACCAGACTGGATTAGGCTTTATAAGAAGGTTGGAAAAGTACTAAATTTTTTTGGCAGTTTTTGATGCTGAAAGGTGTTGATATCTATCCTAGCTTTTGTAGGAGGTTAGACAAATTTGACACTTACATTTCCAAAGGTTTGTACTACAAAAATCATTTGGGAATAGCCAACTTTGCTTGAATAAAAACATGAAATACTTTCGACAATCAAGCAAAAAAATATAGCAACGTATATTTGAATTTTGATGTGGAGAGATATGTATAAATGGGTGAATGTGGATTTTTGGAGAGACCATTTTTTTTCGATTTTGCGGGCATTGAGAAGTTACTCAATGTGGACTTCGGGTAATCACTCAGTTTTTCTCGAACAACTAATCGTAAATATTCCACTAATCGATAGCGGGAGCAAAAAATAAATAAAATTCGATTTAAAGTATGGGAAGTAATTGACATGTGCAAAATCAGATATTTTGACATCCGCAACTAATACACCGTGATTTCAAGTACTACGGAAGCAAAAACTCGAAGTTCACCATGTTTCGTATATTTCGAAACATAACGTTAGTACTAGAAGGAATGTAAAGCATTTTTTACAACGCTATGTCACTCAAGCACGTAAACATTTATGATTTCCTGTTGAAAGGGCATTCCAAGAAAGTGCACAACAGCACGATTTCGCCTAATAATAGCGACTAGCTCTTCTAGAACTGCCTCGGACAACAAAACAAATCATAGGAATAGAAAGGGTTCTGTACAGATCTTTATAGCAAAAAGATGACTTAACAGCAAATTTTGGCGTTAATATGCGTTCTCAAAAGTGCAATGGCTATCAAAAAGGAAAAGAGCAAGTGGCTCTCGATTTGCATGGCTTGCAAATAGAAAGCTAATCAACAGTGTATATTCAGATCTTGTCTATCTTTATCCTGTAGCATTATTGGCTTAACGACTAAAAATTTGTGCAGTATTATTCATGGAATATCTTTCTAAATTATTCAGGCACTGATTTTCAAATTGATTATTTCAATTTATCGAGTTTTTCTAACCAAAGTTAAATGAAATCTATTTCAAACGATTTAGTCGAAGCATTTTAATGGAGCAACGCATCGCTTCGCTGGAGGCTGTGCGAGCATACAGCGCTGGCATTTTGCCAAATCAAGGAGAATAAGAAGGCGAAATGGGCTCCTAACAAGTATCGTATTGTACTGTATTTCCACAAGGGACGGTTCGTCGCATAGCGAACGTCCGCCATTTCAAGTTCCGCCTAACTGAATCAAAACAGACTGTATAAACGTTCGATCGTGCGATTTTTTCCCTTAAAGGCAGTGGATCGGCAAAATGGACCCTTTCGGACTTTAATCCCCCCCCCAAGTGCACTGTAGCCCAACCCCCAAACTGTAACCCCTTCAATTCATGCGCCAAGTCCTGAAAAACCGCTTCAAAACTCCACGCCTGAAGGCCCGAGCCTCTAAAGGCGTTTTTGTAAATCTAAGAGAGTGCATAAATCCACTAATGAGTGGGCGGTATCAGAGCCTTTGCGGCCTCTGAGGTCAAGTTGAGGCCAGAACACTAGGAACATGAAGAAGCTATAGCTCAGTATAGTGGTCTGCAACACAACTTCCCAGCACTGCCTGTATAAGCATTAATTCAATCATGCATGCACTTTTAGGTTCATGTTTTACTGAGGTATTGACCGTCTTCCTGAGTCTTGAGGCTGTTTTTGATAGGGTAGATTACTTATGTATTCAACAATCTAAATTCTGAAAAAGACATGGCCGAAAGTTAGTTGCATAATGAAATACCAATCTGTACAGCTCGACAAGTCAGCCACAACAAGCAACTTCAATATGCCGAGATCAAGCGACAATCGAATTTGGACAATGTTGCCTTCATCCTCACACTTATCTTTCACCCTTACACTAGTTCCTCGGACTGTTCATTTTTTGCTCTCATATAAATCTTGGAAGCCTTCATGCGAGCTACTGATGAGGGATAACACCTTGGCCATCTTCTGGTCTAGACCAAGCTACTAAACCAAGTGTGAAATTACCATTCTTGCACGTATTTCTCGGCTCTAAATTCTGGTCATCTTCAAGTATTGACTTGGCATATTCATTGACACTTCAATATACTTTATATAAAAAGTTTAGTCATTTTGTGATTCGTATCGCTCTGCAAATATAAAACGATTTAAAACAATCATTGAGGACTTATTTTGTTCACCCATCCCGCCTTCCGCGTTGTCTTGTTCTAGAGCAGAACTGTTTTATCCAACTGACAACCTCTTCTAAACTCAGCTGAAAATTGAGCCCAAACTTTTTGCATAGCAATTATTTTAAGTGCTAACACATTTCATTTAGCGCTTCCATAATGCCATTTGCATTGGTAAAACTTGTTTACCCTCCCTCTACCTTTCTAACCTTTCTTCATTTTTATTTACAAGATCAAAAGTAAAAGTTAAACGGTATAAAGTGTCTTTTATCATGTGTGCTCATAGCTTGGTCTCAAGTTCTACGCTGTGTGTTACGTACTGCAACCATAATTTGTTCTTACCATGTGATGAGGTTGTACAGCAGCAAAGTTTGTTTGTTATTTATGATGCTTTTCCCTCTTGCACCGGTAGTTCTTCCTTTCTTGCAACATTTTCATTCACGTCATTTCAGTCTCCGATCCTATGAAGATTATTTTAGCGCTGAATGACTATTTTGCTTATAGACTTTACAGAACTTTAATAATGCTATACATGTCCCTCTGAGCAAATGGTAATTCAATAGCTTCCATCTTCTCGACTCCGTTTTCACTAGATAAATTTTTGTGCAAGATGAGCACTAAGGTAACATGTGAAGCTCCAAATATCAAAAGTGAATTGTACAATTGAACGATAACCTGAGGCCCGGAAACTCTCATTTTACCAAAAAACCCCATCAAATTCTCCAATTTCGAATATCTTTCCGCACTGTATGTATTCCAATCTTATGAGCTTATGCCTCACATGCCTCGAAATTGAAAGCCATGTGCTGTCGTTTACATTTATTTTGCCACTCGCTAGTTTCTTCTGAATTTGTTCAAGTTGCCACAATTTCAGATGAGGTATGTCCCCAAATCTAATGCTTCCCGTCCGCATCTAATTCTTGGAATAGACTCAGAGATCACGAACAAAGGTTTGATTTAACACAAATTATTTTGAAACTGGAGCATACTGCGACAACATTTAGCCAGAAAATGCTGCAAGCTGTATTTGAGCTAGTTTAGGCTTTATCTTCGCCAGGTCCGAACGACGTGGAGGACTTGAGAGAGAACAATGCGCAACACTGATGAAAGTAAGTCATTTTGGAAATGCTTGAGCGGTTGATTGGAATGTTAACGCAAGAGAAAGTTAAAGTCATGTGGCACAGTTGCTCATGTAAAGTTTGCTTCAGGCACTCAATTGGTCGTATGAGTTCGTGGACTACCATAATGATATTGGGCATATCTATGAAAATGGCACCATAACTGGTAAGCTTGAACGCCTTTTTAGTCTGAACTATCAATCTAGCAACATTCTCTTATCATTTGTCGCACGAAACTTTGGAAAACTCCATTAACCCAAATTTGGAAAACTTTACGAATAGCACGTTGGATCACCAGAATTTTTGCTATGAAGCTGTTCTGAATATGCGTGTACGTAGCAATGTAAGTGGAATTAATTAGTACTGAAGACTACTCATTATCTTTTCCTCATAGTCAATCATTTCGTCTACTGAGTGGTTACGTAACATGACATGCCTTTATTTCTTCATATTCTGACAGCAACTTCAACAGTGGCTGATCCGAAGTTTCGAATTCGAAGCTTTTTTTTATCATCGTTCCGCCGACGAAGCTGCAGCATCGAGTTGATTGGAAATGAAAAATCATGTACTTTCTGATAATAGTTTTGCTGTTTTTCACGACGAGTTCTGTTTCTCGCTGATTGAAGTGCTCTTATAATCAACACCTGACAGGTTGAGCAAATTTGGACGATTTCGTAATTTGGGCTTCAGAGACGCTTGGCTAAGGAAAACAGACTTGTAATCATCGTTTGAAGCTCTGCAAAGTGACGTAGGTGTCATGTGGAAAGCTACTTCGGCTACAAATGCTTCCCTTATCAGCTGCCCAACCGGCTATGAGGACGACTGAGTCAGACAGATGGGCTTAAGACTCCGGACGAGATCAGCTAATCCGCCGGCAGTTTCCTCAGGTGTTAAAGGCTGTCAGGGCTACATGTATGAACGTTTCCCAATCTGATCCCATAAACATGCCTGGAACTATTGAAAAAGGTAACCAACCACAACTCTTGATGTTTCAATGGACTTCAAAAGAAGGATTTTATGGAGATAAGCCGCTAGAAATCATCGGAGATTACTTCAAGATATGCAGTTTTCTTTTGACCTGTCCCCTCTATGCCCTTAGGATGTTTATGTATGTTACCTTTAGATATACGTAAGAAGATATTTCTGTGAGGAGGGACTGTAACAAAGACGCCTTCCACTTTCTCTTTGCGAAGATGTTCTTCTTGAATTGAAAAAATTCATCTTTCTCAATATCCATTCTATGACCCTGTCTCATTTAATTCCTTCTACTTCACATCCTCTTTGCGTCTTTGATACCTGGAAGAACGATTTCACCCGCGAAAGAGTTTGAAAAAAAGCCTACAACATGTATCCTCTCTGTTATAAGTCCTTCTATCTTGAAAACTGGGCATGCTACAGACAGTCTCAGTCTTTTTCTTTGCCGTACAGGTTTGCTATGGTAGTACCTTTATTGCCTTACTCGGCTACACGCCGTCTTCAGAGGCCTGAAAGGAGTCAGTCACATTGATGTTCGCTCTTGGCCGCCAAACACCTCCCCTCACTCGCGTATTCGATTCGTCCAGTGTAGAGAAAGCAGGTCTGGCGGTTGACTCGTACTCACCAGTGTACTACCGATACTGCAGTGTGCAACCGACTTGGGCGAGCTCGTTCGACTGTGGTGACAAACAAATGAGCAGTGTGCATGGCACCAAACTGCTTATATATACTCGGACAATCTACAGCTCGCAAAACGGAAGATACGGCATGAGATCAGCGGTTATAGATAACTGTTCGTTCTTGCTGTTCATTTTTGGATCGCGTGCAACAATGAACGATGCTTCCAGAGCCTTTCGCGCAGAAATTTGGTTTTCAAAGGCTAATATCGTGCACCTTATATTAAAATCAACACCGCCGTGCTCTATTTTCCTATGCTTCCCTAGTGGGCTGATCATGCTTTGTTTCCTTTTACTGGCCAGGTGTTCATTTATACGTACGCTCAATGGTCGGCCGGTCTCTCCAATGTAACTGGCGGAGCACCCTAAACATTGGATCTCGTAGACGACACCACACTTTGTACAGTCTCCAATATTTCCGTAAGGGCAGATCACGCAATCCTGTGAGTTACAAGATTTGTCATATAGTCTATTGCGGACCAATTGTGTTTTGATATTGTCTCGAGGGATATTCACTAAAATAACGTCATTCTCGAGACCTGCTCGTATTAGGCACCGCTTGATCGCCACAGAGACCTTTTCGGAGATGAAGGGTAGGCATAGGGGTACTTTATTGGTGACCCGATCTTTTAACTTTGTTGCCTTTCCTCGTCTGGGTCGCGTTACATAACCATTCAATACCATTATATCGGCCGCCTTTTGTAGAGACTCTTGCTTCTCGCGTTCACCACTACTGCTGTTAGCTGCCGTTTTCAGCATGTTGCGAATTATAGCACGTTTGACGGCTATGGGATGAGCGGATTGAGCATGTAAAATTATATTCTTATTACTTTCTTTGCGATACCATTTGGTGCACACCGAGCCATTTACAAAAGTCAACTGCGTAGTCAAGAAAGCCAACCAACCGTTTCGAGGCTCCTCTCTTGTTAGCCTTATGTACTCCGACTGCTGATTGAGTATCTGAAAGCATTCGTCCATTTCGGACTGTGTCGTTGTCACAATGCAGCAATCGTCTATATAACGACAGTAAATAAGTGGGTTTCTGAGTAGCACCGGGTGTTCTATTTTGCTCATGAAGCAAATTGCTAAAACGGGTGCTAATCGTTGGCCCATCGCTAAACCTCTCACTTGCGCGTAGTACCGTCCCGACTACTTAAATATATTGCAATTCAAACATTCCTTGATTAGTGTCATGATGCGTGCCTTACTAAGACCATACGTCGACATAGATGTGATATGTGAATCTAACATCTCGGATAGTGCTTGTAAGGCATTTTCATTGGATACATTTGTATACAATGATTTTACATCAAATGACTCGAACACGCAGTCTTGATTGAAGTTCGTATGTCGCAGAAGATCAAGGAAGTGGTTGGTGTTAGTCAGGTGAGCCGGTATTCTGTTCAGCAATTGACTTACAATTTTATTGAGGAACCAGGAAATGCGGTCTGTCGGGCCGTTGGTGCAGCTGATAATGGGTCTTATTTTGTATGACTCAGCGGTCATTGAATGCATATCCGCCAAAGAAAGTTTGTGCGTTTTGACCAAGCTATAGAACACAGGGCATGATGGCGTTTCTATCTTGAGCCGACTAAGGCCCCGGGCAGACTTCACGCGAATTGGTCGTCGCGACTGAATCGCGACGAGACAACTGTTACAACATCATTCCATGCCGATCAACTTGCATTTCGGTTGTGATACTTTTCCAGCCCGAAATTTTTGAATATGAAATGAAAATGAATGAAAATGTCGGCGATTGAGTTGCGACGATCAAATCGCGTGAAGTCTGCCCGGGGCCTAAGGAATTTCTCGTGCAAACCCGCTTCTTTGCCTACTAGCGTCCAAACATGGTTCAGCCGCTTGCCTTGTGAAAGAAATTCTTTCTCACTAGCGGTTCTGTAGACGGTCGTATCGGACAGGTGCAGTTCGGTAATTTCACGATCAAGGGTTTGCGGCATGACGACGAACTCTCCACCTTTGTCACTGACTGAAAAGCGGATGGTGCTGTTCGACGTCAGTTCTCTCATTTCTTTGAAACCTTGTTGTTGCGCGCGGGTTAGATTGAATGTTTTGATATTTCTGTTTTCGTTAAGAACATTCAAAATTCCTAATTAACATTCGAAATTTGGTATCTGCAACAATGCAAGGTTCCAGTTCCCTGTAAAAGGACGACGGAAATGGTATAGTTGGCAAAATTCTTCTACTAATGTTATCAGAGAGTTGCGCTTGACTATCATGCTTTAGCTTGACTCTGAGCTGATCTCTCAGCCGCTGTAATGAGCCCAAAACACTGCGGTAAGTGTATGCATTGATGTTTTGTGTAGGTGCGAAGGAAGGTCCTAAGCTCAGAAAATCGATGGCTTCAGATGAGATCTGAGCGTTACCTAGTATCGTGACCCTAGCCGTTCTTTCGTTTTGTATGGGATTGTCTGTTGCACTATTGACCTGGTTGACAACTGGTGGTCCTTCATCACTGCCCAGACTTTGCTTACCTTTACTCAAGAGTCTTTTGAACTTTTCACAAAGCGAAGATTTGATATTAGACCGCAAAGAGTCGCAAATCCGCTTTGACTCTCTTTCAATCCTCTTCCATTCGATATCACACAATAAGCGTCTACAAGAATGTTCCTTAGCTTCACACTTCAGAAGACTGGAATATAACAAGCGTTGCCTTTCTTGATGCCTATCTTGAGGATGTTCATGTATAGTCCACGCACTTTTGGGTGATCTTCTGATAAGCCGCCTGATGTTCGCTCTTTCTCTACACTGGACGAATCGAATACGCGAGTGAGAGGGACTGACTCAATGTGACTGACTCCTTTCAGGCCTCCGAAGACGGCGTGTAGCCGAAACGTAAGGCAATAAAGGTACTACCATAACAAACCTGTACGGCAAAGAAAAAGACTGAGACTGTCTGTAGCATGCCCAGGTTTCAAGATAGAAGGACTTATAACATAATTTCCAATATAAAGCCGAACTTGTCCTTACTGATCCGCGAAGCACTAGCACTTCGCCAAAAGGTTGTGGTCACTCGCCAACAGCTTATCTTCCTCAAACGATGCATGTCGAACAAAACGTTTCCTCGATTTATCACGAATAAGAAACTGGGAACAACATGCGGCTTATCAGAAGATCACCCAAGAGTGCGTGGACTATACATGAACATCCTCAAGATAGTGATCAAGGAAAAGCAACGCTTGTTATATTCCAGTCTTCTGAAGTGTGAAGCTAAGGAACATTCTTGTAGACGCTTATTGTGTGATATCGAATGGAAGAGGATTGAAAGAGAGTCAAAGCGGATTTGCGACTCTTTGCGGTCTAATATCAAATCTTCGCTTTGTGAAAAGTTCGAAAGACTCTTGAGTAAAGGTAAGCAAAGTCTTGGCAGTGATGAAGGACCACCAGTTGTCAACCAGGTCAGTGCAACAGACAATCCCATACAAAACGAAAGAACGGCTAGGGTCACGATACTAGGTAACGCTCAGATCTCATCTGATGTTATCGATTTTCCGAG